GATAGATAGATAACCTTTATTGTCATTTTTACTGTGGGCACAATGGCACACATTAAAAATGAAATTTAGTTGCTTGCTCTCAAGTGTACACATACATAACACACATTTAAAACGTACTATATACAACATATGTATAGACATACACCCTTAAATATAAGTAACATATAAATATTAATCACTGTCCATCTTGAATACATAACGGAAGGAGGAAGCTTTAGAGTTCACAAGGTTAATACTATCTATTCTACAGGATAGGACGATCTATATTTGACTATATAGGACTGTCTATATTTGTTGGCTCATCCGCTTGTCTTTCGCCATTTACATTTAGCCTTCCGAAAGAGAACTCACTGTGTGGTTGTCAAAGATGCTGGATTGTGAGAAGACCCAAGCTCTTGTCCTCCCCAGTCACCCCCCCTCAGCCCTAATCAGCGTGAGGGTCTGGAACAAGCCACCTCATTAATCCCTTGATTGCCTCAGGCGTTGATTGATAGCTTCGCTGGAAGAATTAGGCCAAGCAGACTCTCTGTAGCTCTGCAGGATAAACACGAAGAAAAGCAACCACAGCCTATCTCAGGGGCCTTCAAACTTGGCCCTTTTATGACCGGTGGACTTCAACTCCCAGAATTCCTCAGCCAGGCACCCGCTGGCTGAGGAATTCTGGGAGTTGAAGTCCACAGGTCATATAAAAAGGCCAGGTTTGAAGACCCCTGGCCTATCTGATGTTTCTGAAAATGGGCCTAAATATTCTATAGTCAGATTCTTAGGAAAATAAGCTTTTGAGGAATCCTTAAAAGGCTGGCCTCTTAGATTGTTTTTGTTTTTTGTTTTGTTTTGTTTTGTTTTGTTTTGTTTTGTTTTGTTTTGTTTTGTTTTGTTTTGTTTTGTTTTGTTTTGGAGGAATAGCCTCACACCCAGCCCATCATTTTACATCTATATGCTACAAGTTTTGTTTTGTTCCCCCTATTATCTATGTAGCAAATGGTACTTTTTGCTTAAATGTTATCTGCCAAAGATTTGTGGTTTTTTTTAAACTTGTGCATTTTGTGCTGCAGTTTAAGTGGAACGAATAGAGTAAAAAAAGGAAATAACAGGTCATCCTTGACTTATGACCACAGCTGAGCTCAAAATTTCTGTTGTTAAGCGAGACAGTTCTTAAGTGAGTTTTGCTCCGTTTTATACGACCTCTCTGGCCATAGTGGTTAAGTGAATCACTGCGGTTGTGAAGTTAGTAACACTCTTGTTAAGTGAAACTGGCTTTCCCCATTGACTTTGCTTGTCAGAAAGCCGCAAAAGCCAATCACATGAACCCGGGGGACTGCAACCGTCATAAGTGTGAACCAGTTGACAAGCATCCAAATTTTGATCACGTGACCCTGGGCATGCTGCAACAGTCATAAATGTGAAAAACGGTCTTTAATCGCTTTTTTTCAGTGCCGTTGTAAACAGTGTATGTAAATGCATCATATTGGTATTTGCTGTTCAATTATAAAAATTAATAAAAATTTTATAAACAGTCACTAAATGAATGGTTGTAAGTCAAGGTCTACTTGTACTCAAAGAGAAAATGCCTTTAACGGTGATGAAGAGCTACTGCAGGAAAATTTAATGATGATGATGATGATGATGATGATGATGATGATGATGGAGGAAGAGACTTTGGAGGTCATCTAGTCCAACCCCCTGCTCTGAGACATGCTTGCCCATGATGATAATAATAATAATAATAATAATAATAATAATAATAATAATAATAATAATAATAATAATAATAATAATAGAGTTGGAAGGGATCTTGGAGGTCTTGTAGTCCAACCCCCTGCTCAGGCAGGAAACCCTATACTATTTCGGGCAAATGGCTGTCCAGTCTCTTCTTAAAAACTTCCAGTGTTGGAGCATTCACCGCTTCTGGAGGCAGGTTGTTCCACTGGTTCATTGTTCTAACCGTCAGGAAGTTTCTCCTTAGTTCTAGGTTGCTTTCCTTTTGCAGTGTGCAATTTAAATAAGAGGGCTAGGGAAGCCTTTTAAAGTTTTAATTTGGATTCCTGTGCTAAAAAAGGAGGCTTAAATGCTTTATGATACCTCCGTGCAATTTCTCCGTTCACTTGAAATTAAACTTGAGAATCAAGTTTCTGCAGAAATATGCGATTCTTTAAGAGATTAATGACTGGGGAGATCCTTGGAAGTTAAAAAAAAAAAAAGATAGTTGGCTTGCACCCTCCAGTGGTGGTCTGGTGTTACCATCAAGGTCCTTGAAGAACATGTCCGTGATAATAGAATAACAGACTAGCGACCTTGGAGGTCTTCTATCTAGTGGAACCCCCTGCTCAAGCAGGAGACCCTGTGGTGGTCCAATCTCTTCTTAAAAACTTTCAGTGTTGCAGCACCCACAACTTCTGGAGGCTAATTGTTCCACTGGTTAATTGTTCTAAATGTCCAGAAATTTCTCCTTATTTCTAGGTTGCTTCTCTCCTTGATTAGTTTCCATCTCTTGCTTCTTGTCCTGCCTTCAGGTGCTTTGGAAAATAGCTTGACTCCCTCTTCTTTGGGGCAGCCCCTGAGATACTGGAACACTGCTATCATGTCCCCCCTCGTCCTTCTCTTCGTTAAACTAGACATACCCAATTCCTGCAACCATTCTTCATATGTTTTAGCCTCCAGCCCCTTAACCATCCTTGTTGCTCTTCTCTGCACTCTTTCTAGGGTCCCAGCATCTTTTTTCATATTGTAGCAACTCATACTGGATTCCAAATAGGATCTTACCAAGGCATAAAATGGTAGTAATACTTCACATCACTTTTAAATTGATGTCAATCATCATTCACATCCCAATCTGGACACTTCAGTGCCTGTAATTTCCACCTTGCCATGATCCCCTTTGAGACCTCTGAAAGTTTAGGTTCTTAACTGGGAGGTTGACCAATTGATATAAGCTGAGATTTAATTCTCAAAGCAACTCACAACCAGAAAGAAAAACTCATTTCTTGCAACGTATTTTAATTGACACAAGAAGGCCAGAAATATTCCTCTACATTCCCATTTATATATTTGCTCTGAACTGTGTTTAGGAATGATAAGAAGGAAGCTGCTATAATGGCGGTCACCTGCCCGACGTATTACAGTGTGTCGGTACCCAAAGCTGAACTTTTGAATAAAATCAAGAATTTGCCTGAAGAAGCAGGTGGAGATGATGAACAGGTGGACATCAATGAGAAGAAGGTGAGTTTTGAGCATGTCCGGTGCAGAAGGGACTGGCATACTCTTAAGCAGAGCTGTGTGAATCCGAAGACATCCATGGAATCAGAGATTTCCATCGAAATGACAAAAGCAGCATGCCACTGTTAGGATGTCAGCTCCACCTTTTCACAGTGCATGCACAAAAGGGGCGGGGCCTGTACTGCACTGATGAAATGCTATTGTCATTTGATTTACCCTGTAATGATAAGAGAGAGGGAGGGAGGGAGGGAGATGGATGGATGGATGGATGGATGGATGGATGGATGGATAGATAGATAGATAGATAGATAGATAGATAGATAGATAGATAGATAGATAGATAGATAGATAGATAGATAGATAGATAGATAGATGATGGACGGACGGACGGACAGACAGACAGATAATAGATATAGTAGATAGGTAGGTAGGTAGGTAGGTAGGTAGGTAGATAGATAGATAGATAGATAGATAGATAGATAGATAGATAGATAGATAGATAGATAGATAGATAGATAGATAGATAGATAGATAGATGATGGACGGACGGACGGACAGACAGACAGACAGATGATAGATATGGTAGGTAGGTAGGTAGGTAGATAGATAGATAGATAGATAGATAGATAGATAGATAGATAGATAGATAGATAGATAGATAGATAGATAGATAGATAGATAGATAGATAGATACAGTATACAGTAGATAGATGATGGATGGATGGATGGACAGACAGACAGACATGATAGATAGATGTAGGTAGGTAGGTAGGTAGGTAGGTAGGGAGAGAGAGAGAGAGAGAGAGAGAGAGAGAGAGAGAGAGAGAGAGAGAGAGAGATCACTCATAGGTTGTTAGTTTGCCTCCCAGTGGGGACTGATTTATGTTTGCTTCTTATCAACCAGGCTGAACTCATTCAGAGCTTGACCCACAAACTGGAGACGCTGAAGGAAGCCAAGGAGAGCCTGCTAGCAGACGTCAAGCTCAACAACACCTTGGGAGAGGAAGTGGAAGCGCTGATCAGTGGTCTCTGCAAGCCCAACGAATTTGACAAGTACCGAATGTTCATTGGAGACCTGGATAAGGTGGTCAGCCTCTTGCTTTCCCTCTCAGGACGCCTGGCTCGGGTGGAGAACGTTCTCAGCAGCCTCGGCGACGATGCGGATAAACAAGAATGGGTACGGCAATTTTCCAACCCGAACCCAGGTAGTCCTCAACTTACGACCACCGCTGAGCCACGGCTAAGCAAGACGGTCGTTAAATGAGTTTTTCCCCATTTTACGACCTTTCTCGCCACCGTTGTTAAGTGAGTCGCTGCAATTGTTAAGTTAGTGACGCGGTTGTTGAGTGAATCTTGACTTTGGTTGTCAGGAGGTCCCAACAAGTGCTCACATGACCCTGGGACACTGCAGTGGTCAAAAATACACGTTAGTTGCCAAGGGTCCGAATTTGGATCACATGACCACGGAGAGGCTAAAAAGATTGTAAGTCTGAAAAACGGTCCTATATCGGTTTTTTCGGTGCCATTGTCACTAAACAAAACTTGTAAACTGAGGACTATCTATATAGGCCAGGGGTAGGCGACCTTGGCTCTTTTATGACTCATGGACTTCAACTCCCAGAATTCCTGAGCCAGCATGGCTCAGCTTGGAAACCTCCCCCTTTCCCCTCAGCATGGCTGGCTCAGGAATTCTGGGAGTTGAAGTCCACGAGTCATCAAGGGAGCCATAGTTCCCCCATGCTGGCTCAGGAATTCTGGGAGTTGAAGTCCACAAGTCATAAAAGAGCCACGGTTGCCTACCCCTGGTATAGGGCATTCGTTGCACTTACATTCTGAAAGAGGAGAATTTAATCAGTTTCAAATTACTAAAATCATTCCCAGAATCTTAATTTTCTGTCCTCCAGGAACCGTTGGAAAGCAGAATGCAATTGTCTCGCTCTTCCCAGCCTTGAGAGTCAAAGAACGTGCTATGATCACCGTCAGTTTTTCAGTGTCCTGTCCATCTGACAAAGAGTAAAAATGCAGGAAATATTATTTAGTCGTGTCCCCTGTTCATTGCAGAGAAGAAGAAAATAATATACAATAGAATTCCCCCAGTTCTAATTTTCAGCCTATACAGATAGTCCTCGACTTACAACAGTTCATTTAGTGGCTGTTCAAAGTTCAAAGTGACTGATGACCGTTTTTCACACTTGTGACCTTTGTAGCATCCCCAGAGTCACGTGATCAGAATTCAGACGCTTGGCAACTGACTCACATTTATGACGGTTGCAGCGTCCCGGGGTCACGTGATCCCCTTTTGCAACTGAAGCAAAGTCAATGGGGAAGGCAGATTCCCTTAGCAATGGTGTTAGTAACTTAACCACCGCAGTGATTCACTTAACAGTGGCAAGGAAGGTCATAAAATGGGGCAAAACTCACTTAGCACACGTCTCGCTTAACCACAGAAATTTTGGGCTCAATTGTGGTCGTAAATCGAGGATCACTTGTATGGATGTGTTGGTTTGCTGGTTAACAGGAGATGAGAAGTTCCTGGCTATGAAGCTGTCAATCTCATGTCATTGGCTCACTGAAAGTAATGGGAGTAGAATGATACATTTACAATTGGTGGCATGCACTATAGAGATTCAAGCATCTCATTCCTGGTGCCTTATGAGGAAATTCATCTCTCCTTCTTCTGTAGCCTAGCCCAGGGGTCCCCAACTTCCGGTCTGTGGACCAGTACTGGGCCGCGGCATGCCAGCAACCGGTCCACACAAACAAGCAAAGCCCCATCCATGAGATGCAGGCAGCACACAAAACCACGCCCCCTCCGGTCCGCGGAAAAATCTCTCTCCACGGAAGCGGTCCCTGGTGCCCAAAAGGTTGGGGGACCTCTGACATAAATGACCTCTTTTACCCCTCTTTCAAACCAATGGGATAGGCAGATGTGGATGTTTGATGGTATGACAGATATCGTCGTGGGATGGAGGCGGTTCCTAGTAAGGCCGCCTTTTGCAATTGACTAATGGCGAATTTGTCAATGCCAATGATGGTGTCCAAGTGGTGCTCCAGTTGTTTTGGGATTGCACCCAAGGCGCCTATTACTATTGGTACTATCCTTGCTTGCCTTTGCCACAGTCTTTCTATTTCTATTTGTAGGTCTTTGTATTATTAATAATAATAATGATAAAGTTGGAAGGGCCCTTGGAGGTCATCTAGTCCAACCCTCTGCTCAGGCAGGAAACCCTATACCATTTTGGACAAATGGCTGTCCAGTTTCTTCTTAAAAACTTCCAGTGTTGGTGCATTCACTGCTTCTGGAGGCAGATTGTTCCACTGGTTAATTGTTCTAACTGTCAGGACGTTTCTCCTTAGTTCTAGGTTGCTTCTCTCTTTGGTTAGCTTCCACCTGTTGCTCCTTGTCCTGCCTTCAGGCGCTTTGGAGAATAGCTTGACTCCCTCTTCTTTGTGGCAGCCCCTGAGATATTGGAACACTGCTATCATGTCCCCCCTCGTCCTTCTCTTTGTTAAACTAGACATACCCAATTCCAGCAATATTATTATTATTATTATTATTATTACTATTACTATTATTATTATTATTATTATTATTATTATTATTATTATTATTATTATTATTATTATTATTATTATTAATCATCGCACAGTCAGCCAGAGGTTCAGACTGGATTTGGCATTTTTGTCTACCTATCGAGTCCTTACCAAGGACCTGGGATAGGCAGATGTGGATGTTTGATGGTATTACAGATCTCGTCGCAGGATGGAAGCCATTCCTAGTAAGGCTGCCTTTTGCAATTGACTAATGGCGAATTTGTCAATGCCGATGATGGTGTTCAACTGGTGCTCCAGTTGTTTTGGGATTGCACCCAAGGCACTTGTTGTTTTTGTTGTTGTTGTTGTTGTTATTATTACATGCCTGTGCATAGAGCTTCCGTTCTAGAAATCTCAGGTTACCACAGGAACCCACATCATCCCAGATCCGTAGTGATGAACTTTTCATTTGTCTCTTTCCTTCCCCCCCCCCCCCCATTTTTCTCTCCCAGGCTTCTCTGAACGAAAAGCGGAAGATGTTAGCAGGCCAGCATGAAGATGCCCGTGAGCTGAAGGAGAACCTGGACCGCCGAGAACGTGTGGTCTTGGACATCCTGTGCAGTTACCTCTCCGAAGAACAGCTCCAGGACTACCAACATTTTGTGAAGATGAAATCGGGGCTGCTTATAGAACAGCGGGAACTGGATGACAAGATCAAACTCGGGCAGGAACAACTCAAGTGCCTCTTAGACAGCCTCCCCACAGGATCCTTCCTCGACAGCAAAACGGCCACAGGACCTCCAGCCACCCCGGGGATCAACTCCGAGAACAGATCTACCCCGTCTTTCCTCTGACCTTCTCCAGTTGAAGCCCACATTTAAACAAACAAACAAAAAATTCTTGCATTTATTTAATCAGACACAGAGTTTAACTTTTGAAATTGAAGGGGGATTCGTTTTTCTTTTTTTAATTAATCTAGGGAACTCAAACAGCCATGAAGGCTTTATGTTTTGTTTCCCCCCCACCACCACCAAAAGGTACTTTTTCAAGGCCATCAGACTTTATTTTTCCTTAAAAGACATTTCGCTTCTTATCCGAGAAGCTTCTTCAGTTCCGAAGTTGACTTCTTGGATGAGAAGCGAAACGGCTTTTAAGGAAAAACGAAGTCCGGTGGCCTTTTGAAAAAGCACCTTTGGATCTGGATGATTGAGAAGCTCTGTAGACATTTACATTTTTTCCCCCTTCTATCTGCAATCACAGCAAATCTTGTCTGGAGCACATGAGGGAGGACTCTGTTCTAGTGGCTCACAGTAACCCAGGAAGGAATGCCTTGTGTCCTGGGGAGGACATTCGCTTCCAACCGTTCTGAGTTCAAGTCGTGCCCACTAAGGGAGCTCCAGATTAAACGATGAAGGATCTACAATAATGAAGCCTTAATTAAAACATTGCTGAGTTCTCTGCTGTGTCTTGAACAATATTTATATTTTTTAAAAGCTACGGGACAGAACCCTGTAAAGATTTTTGTACATAAACGAACTGGTGGTTTGATTCTACTTCAACGATGCGGGGAGGCTGGGGTAGGGTTTTAATTTTGGGGTGTGTGTGTGTGTGTGCTTAACAACAACAACAACCACAACAAAAAGAAGCATCTTTCCCCCCCCCACAAAAGGGGAGGGGCAAACAACCTAATGGCAGCACACCATAGTTTGGAGCGGCTGTGTGGATGATGCTAAAGGACACAACCGAAAAAGGCGTCAAGCCTCCGAGTCAGGGATTCCTCGTGCACACAAATATTGACAAGCAGTGAGTTAAATTTGTGCTTATCGGCTCGAAAATGGGACGCAGATCCAGATTCACGTTGGCAGAAGGCAGGAAGTAGGAAGTTCTCAGTTTTATGGGATGGGGACATCCCCCATTTTCGGCTCTGTGGGCAACGAGTTGCACGCTTACAAATCCATGAGAATTGCCTGCCTTTCCAGGTATTGCAGATCGATTCGTGCTCTTCTACACAGCGTTGTACGCAGGGGAGACCTCTGCCCAATTTTTCTTTTTCTTTTTTATGCTCAGCAGGATCCCGCCCGGTTGATGAGCGAGATGCGTAGGCATAGAATGTCTCTCTACCCACAATGCACCAGGCAGGCGATGGGTGGGGCGGGAGGACCTCTCCCTTTGAACCTCCGCTGAAGGTCCCAAGAAGGGACTCGAGAATGTTTTTGCACAGGAAAATACTGTCTTCCAAGACTGCGACGTGAGACCCAACCCAACACAGCACTTGTGCGAACAATACAACTCAGGAGTCAGCACGACACAGAAGCCTCTTCCTAAATTTTCCCGCGGGACTGTTTAAAAACAATAAAAGTCGGAACACACGATGCCTGCAAAGGGTCGGAGAGTTTTTTCGAGGTGGTTTTTTTTTCCCCCCAATCTCTCTTTATTTATAGATTTTTTTAAAAAAAGAAAGAAAGAACAAACAAAATCCTTGGTTGTTTTCTAAACACTGTGGTTCTTCGTTTTTGCTAACCTCTTTGGCTTGGACTTTCTGTAAAAGCGATCCAAAACTAAGATAACGTAGCACAAGGCGGACTGAACTGACAGTCACACAGCCTCTTGTTTCAATCAAAAAACTGGTTCTTTTTTTCTTTCTTAGTTCGATCCTAAGGATTTCTTCCTAATTTATTACAGCAGGGAAGTCGTTTCCTATTTCTATATTGTGTATGCACTCGGAGCTGTCACTCTACACCAGTGTTTCTCAACCTTGACAATTTTAAGGCATGTGGACTTCAACTCCCAGAATTCCCCCGGCAGCACAGGGGTTGAAGTCCATGCCTCTGAAAGTTGCCAAAGTCGGGAAACCTTGCATTAGATCGGGGGGTCTCCAAACTTGGGAACTTTTAAGACTTGTGGGGTTTCAATTCCCAGAATCCCCCAGCCAGCCATGATGTCTGAGGAATTCTGGGAGCTGAAGTCCAGAAGGCTTAAAACTGCAAGTTTGGAGACTCCCGCTGTAGATGAATTCAAGGGGCAAGAATGTATGTGATAATCTCTAAAGCAGCACCTGTTTCTTAAAGCTTTACGCTGGGCTATGACTGTAATAAAAATGTGATGAAGATGATGATAGATCAGATATTCCTAGTAAATGATCTGCAGGGGGTAGCCAAGGTTTTAACCTCTTCTTCACCCAACATCAACTTACTTATTCCTTCTGCTTGCACTTTTGGGTCCTCTAGGCCTCAAAAACGGCCAGCTGAAGAAAAAAAATGTTTAAAATGGCAAGGGAAGGGTAGGGTAGGGATGTGATAAGAAAGGATGAGAAAGAAGAAGAGGGCAGCCCTTCCTTTAATGAGGCCTGTGAGCAGAAAACAGGAGCCCTGTCTCTGTTTCAGAATGTGTAGTTTCACTAAAGTAAAATTACTAAAAAAAAAAAAAAAAAATTGGAATATATTTTAAGAGCGTTAATTCTGGATATTTTTATTTTTGTAACGCCTATGTAAGAAGAGTCTCAATGTTATAAAGCAGTTAGTCTCTCATTTTTTCTTAAAAAACAACAAAAAACAGATTCCCTTGTTTGGGTTTGCACACTGCATTAAACTATGGTTTATTTAACTCTGGGTGGTTTGCTAAACCATAACGACATGGTCCATGCATAACAGTGTTATAAAGCTATGGTTTATAAACCACGGGGGTTAAATTTATGCAATACTGACCTAAGCCAATAACAGATTACATTACGGCATACTATAATGTGTGAACCTGGTTGATGTATTTCCTTTCTTCTTCTTTTTTTTTAATGAAGCCTGTTGACTCAAAAGAATCATGTTATGGTTGCTAAAGATATGCAAGTTCAACATTTGGCTAAATACAGAGATATCACTGTGGGGTCTTTGATGCTCTCTATGCTTGGCTGTTTTCCTGTAGACGTCTCATTACCCAGCTAGGTAACATAATCAGTGCCGGTAAAGAATGGGGTTTGCTCTCAGTTTATATGCAGTGGCTTCCCCTGTTAATGTTGGTACCAACAGTGTTATATATTTGTATATAAACAGAGACTCTTTCTAGCACTGATGATGTTACCTAGTTGGGTAATGAAATGTCTGCAGGAAAAGAGCCAAACTCAGAGAGCACCAAGGACCCCACAGTTCAACCTTGAAATACAAATACTTTCTGTTATCAGTGCAGAGATACCAATGGAATCACAGGCCTTCAGTAGAAGCTATAATTGTGTGTCATGAGTGATGACACAGACTGTGCTTCTTTGGCATGATGACATGATACATCTGATGTCATTGGCATGTCCCTACACACACCCATAATTGGTAAGTTCTCAGGTGTATAGGGATGTTATGCACGTGTCCTCTCCATCCCTATCATGGCAGCCAAAAGGTCTGCTTTTATTTTATACCTGTAGCTCACCAAAAACTGTAACTAAAGAGGGAGAAACTAGATTCACACCTGTCAGCTTCTTTTTTTTAAAAAAATGGACCGTACAACTCAAGTGATAAAACGCTTCCATCTGGTACTGCCTTCATGTCCACTTCATGTCCAGATTTGATGTGGCTGCTCTTACCGTTTTATGAAAGGTTATTCCATTGCTTCATCAGTGATCTGGTTCATCAGTTCATCAATCATGAAACGCCTTGCTTGTTCAATCATTCTTTGTAGTGCAAGCCACAACTGGCTAAGTTCATGCTACAAACCAAAGCTCAAAACCTGGTTTACAAATCAGGGGCTAGGTTAACAGATCCATTAAGCCAAAATCAAGCCAACCAGGATTATAGCTTAGCACTGAGTAACCCAATCAGTCCTTCACAAGATTAGCCTTTTCCCCACAATTCCGAATTCCCAGCCAGTTGTTGGACACGGACCTATGATAGATAATTCTTAGTTTTATTTTATCACTATCAGGCAAGACTGAACAATTGCAAATTAGCTATGACCAAGGAATAAACCAAGATCTCCAAACCCGGCAGACTTGTGGACTTCAACTCCCAGAATTCTTCAGCCAGCAGGTCCACAAGTCTTAAAGTTACCAAGTTCGGAGATGCCTGGAGTAAATAAATCCACCCCATAGGCAGCATGGGTGTCTGTAGTAGGGCATGGCCCAAATGATGTAATTTGCATCATTTAAACTAGTGCTTCCCAACCTTGAGAACTTTAAGGGGTGTGGACTTCAGCTCCCAGAATTCCTCAGCCAGCATGGTGGCTGAGGAATTCTGGGAGTTGAAGTCCACAAACATTAAAGTTCTCAAGGTTGAGAAACATCATTTAAACAACATGGCACATGGCTTGTACTGGATGTCTAATCTGGATTTAGGAATTTACTCAGGTTCACCCTAGCCACGTTTAGCTCTTGGCTGGTAAAGTCCCTCACTGAACCTCTGCTAAGTTTACAAGTTTTCCTGCAGAAGGAGATGAATTGAGAGCTTTGATGGCTCATTTTTTAACAACCACACAGATACTTAACAACTTTTATGGGATCAGAATGATTTGTCAAGAAAGGTGCTTTTGTAGAGGAAGAAGGAAGATCTTATCCTGAGCATAACTTATAATAACCCTCTGCACATTTTATAGTTTAGCCAGTTGTCCCTTATGAGGTGGGTTGTGTTCCTTGGAAACCACAAAGGCTCTGGCTGGTATCATTAAATAAAATTGCACCCATGAAGCTGTGAGAGAATATGGGAATTGAGCAGATTGCACCACTTGAGGCACTTTCCAGGTGTGTGAAGTTTAATTTCCAGAATTTTTAGCAATGGTTATGCTGGCTGGGGAATTCTGGGAGTTGAAGTTCAGAGGCATTGAGGTTAGAGAAGTCTTAAGGGCCTTCTAAAACAAGGGTCTCCAAACTTGACAACTTTTAACTCCCAGAATTCCTCAGC